ACATATATATATGTATACATATAGATCGCACTAGAAACTAAGCCTTGCAATGGGGTACTGTATTTGAGTTTTGCCATGGTTGTACATATGGACCAAGCTGGGTAAAGAAAAAACATCACATGTGATGCGAGAAGTCAATCAACAGATATGCACAACAAACATACGTTTGGTCATGCTACACCAACAATTGTGAGACTTGAGCAACCAATTAGTGGAGTTTGAACCAATCAAAAATGTATCAAAATGTGATGGAATCGCCTTTTTTCCCCATTGAACTAACTTTTTCCACCGTGATTGCAGAGGTAGCAGAGTTGCAGTTCCTTTACCCGGGAATGGGGAAACCCTTCAGGCACAAGGCAACAACCTGCGAACGTTTGGGGTCTGATTTTCCTATTGGCATGGTCCACTTTTGCATTCTACCTATAGAGACTCCTATAAAGATAGACAATGTAACCTTTACCAATATTTTTTAGCAGGAATTTAAACCACATGTTTTTCCTTTTCTACTCTATAGTAAGAATTGCCAATTGCCTATAGTTTTATACAACAACGTGTACCAAACCCAGCCCAATTTCTCAAAGCCTCCAGGGCAGTAGGGGAAGAGCTCCCACGTCCCGACCCTGGAAACCCACGCAGGGGAAGTGGTTCTTAATCCAGCTGGAAAAGTGGTTACTCAGCAATGTAGAAATATGGTTCAAAACTCCTGTTGGTTGATGATAAGGGATTTTACAGCCTAATGATGCCTAATGTATTGCTGATTATCACAATCCATGAACTGGGAATCCCGTTCTTAACCAACCAGGAATGGAATGGCTTAGGGTGAACATTGCCCATATGGGGACGGGTCAACACCCCTGTCGCACATCATTCAGAACTAAATCGACCAACGTACGGTAGCCATCATGTTGGTCAGTTCTTGTTTCTATGCAATGTTTCGACATATGCATTCAATATAATATATATATATACACGGAAAGATGTGTGTTTATAGCATTCGCGGATATTTTTTCTGCGTTATTTACATAACCTAATCAATGACGCCACGATAGAGGGATTATCCCAAATGACGCCCTGGGAAAGCGCTTGAAATCTTCGATGCGATGGGTCAATGAATATCAACACTTGTCAATAACCAATATAGAACATGTTGATTTTTTTAGTTGAATGATCCTCCAATTGTCTCTTTGACCATCAATCCATAGCCAGTGTTTTTTGTTCCTTCGAATTCGATCATGTTCTGCATATGATATATATATATATAAATATTGATTGTTGTTGTTGTTGCTGCTGTTGTTGTTGTTGTTGATCAATTTTCCTTTATACCAATATAGTTTTTTGCTTCAAATACTCCAACCCTTCTCTAGTTTCAGGACTTGCTGCAGCTCTTCCCTAGCATTCCCTGTTTGGACAGATGTCTACCAGTATCTTAATAAAGCCATAGATATCATCTCAGTTTCCCAGATACTACCCTCCTCTGAGGGTGCAGTTCCACACAAGAAGTGGGGGTTATTGTTATATAGTATATATCCGTGGCAGTGTTTTATATCCGTAATAAATAAACCCAACAGGTTTTTGATCTCCGCTAAGTTCGTTATAGATATCTCATTTGGATTGTATTATCATCAGAATTCTACATTCTAGCTCCACAAAAATGAAAAGCAAATTCCTACCAACTTAGTCGTAAATGTATCGTTCTATCTTTGTGGTGATTCATATCCCATTTTGTAGATAAACTCCTTTTTTATTGATATTATCTCGCAAATATCTCGCAAATCCCGGAATATACCCCTATTATCTCCAATATTCTCCAATTATAGTCCATTATATTTCCACATTTTCCCCATATGGTTTGTTTGAACATGGGGTATCCCTAAATCGACTGATTAATCATCACTTCCCAATTCAAATCCGCTTTGTATAACAGGCCGTCCAATGTATCAGCTGTTGGTTGCATAGCCTACCATTTTCCTGGTTGTATCCCAATTTTTGGAGTTTGCCCCACTGTAAACTAACAGAAACCGATGTGGAAAACTCCTGGAGGTTTTCCAACCAGGAATTTCCGGTCATTTTCCTGGGGGTTCACCATGGGTTTTCCACATCTCTTTGTATGATTACCCTTAGGTAAATATTCCATTACCCATAGGATCCATGTATGGTATATATATATATATATGCTAACATTGGGGGTATATTCATGGTAAATGTTACCATATTACATGGATCCTATGGGTTATTTTGTCCCAATCTGATCATTCGTGCAGGTCGTATTCCAAAAGAATCCTATTACCCATTGTTGCGGGTTAACCAAATCCATGATTTGAGTGTTGTCTGAAAATGGGCTATAGCCTATACCCCAAAATAGACGACTCAATGGGACAATCAAATAGACCAGTGGATTTTGAGGTATCAAACATGTTCAGACCCATTTTGTTTGCTCAGGTGGCCCACTCCAAGCACCCGGCGGATTATGGGGACGACCGGCGAGGCAGTTAGCCTGCAGAAAATGGCTGGAAAACTGAAGAAAACCAGTTTGAAACTGGTTAAACAAAGCCAACTCTTGGAACATGGTAAGTACTGTAATACAAAAGTTGGAAATTACTATTGTAAGCATGTCCATCAGTATGTTGACCAAGATTTTTGGAGGGTGAAACCAACACCAATGAGGAATCTTCACTCGGCCCACTGGATCTGCAAGGCTCTTGGCAGCATCCGCGGACTCAACTTTGGTGGTAGCTTGTCGCGAGGGCGCGAAACCCATGTTGCTATCCAAGAATGAGGAAATCATCATTTAGGGATAATGATGATGAAAATCAATGGATATCATATGGGATGGTAAGTTGAGGCCCGGTCCTCGCGCACAGTCCCGCTGCTTACACTGCTACCAAAGGGCTTGTTTGGAGTCTTGGGACTCTTTTGCTGTAAATTTCGGTTGGCTCTTGTCTTGGACAGCTGGATTAGCGTGATTGAGCGACTTTAGCGCTTTATCACCACAGAAGTGGTGTGAGACAAGAGATTCGTGGCAGGCGGCTGTCAATGATGATCTCTTCTATGCAAACCGAACGAATGTCTCAGAATGCACCCGAAAGGGCGCAAAACACACGGTTTTACGACATTTTGTTGTGTAAGCGTGCAAACCAGCCCAATCGAGCGTTCGGGTCATCCATTGGGCCTGCATGTGGGCTATGTATAGTTCATTGGCTATCCCCCAGACTTGTTTGGCTCAAGGGCCCAAAAAGGAGCAGCGTTTTGCAGCTCAGGGCAGTTGGAACACAATTTCCTTTGTCACTTCCGTCTGTGTGTGAATGTACCGCCCTTCTGTGCGGTTGTAGACAGATTGATGTACAAAGACCGACCTTGTCCTGAGGGATGTCGCCTGCAAAAAAAAAGACGCATGTAACATATATTTATTATGTATTTTTTTTGATATCCATACAACAGAAAACATTATACAGACATACAGACGCATATCTAATTGCATTTGAACCAACGCATTTGCGTGGCGATCGGCCCCACATTTAGCTAGCAACAGCTGAGGCTCCGTTTTTGGGGCGAAAAGTATTGGGTTTTATTTTGCGATCCCTAAAGAGTTTTCCAGTAGACGCTTGTTTTCATTCAATCCGTTCAATTTTGTGAAGCGAGTTTTGAAACAAAAAAACATTGTTTGTTGACTAACTATCGAGCATAACAATTTTATTTTTCATGTTCTGGCAGTCGGCGTTTGTCAGAGTTGAAGTGACCTGGTGAATGGTTTTGTTCTAATCAAAAAAGGTCCTCAGGTCACTTGCTTGTAGTGCAAGGTTTTTGGCCAAGTCATTTCCTTTGCACAGTTTGGGCAGAGTCGACCAAACGGCACGCTGTAAGTTAGCAGTTTTGCAAGCTGAAACAAATTTGGCATTGTAAGGCAGGCATTTTGCCATTCAAGACCTGCAGCGATTGTGTGTTCCAAAAATTTGGACAAGAGAAAGCAACGACAGTTTCTGCATTCATTAGCTGTGCAAGCGTGTGCGATGGAAGTGATTGTTTTTGTGCAATTTCCGGGGCAAACCTAACCAAAGGAACCAACAAGAAAATAGTAAAGGGTTGTATTTTTGTTTCGCTGATTTATCATGCACCTTCTTGTCCGAACGGGTGCAGCCGCCATGGTTGCCCTGTGGTTGATTGCTGGTCCGCCTGAGAGGCGGTGTATGGATCCTTATGCCATGCCTTTCACGAATGGCAGAAGAGCGAAAAGGCGACTCAAGATCGAAGTTGATTCTGCTTGTGTCACAGACGCTGTGAAGGGTTTGGCTGGAGATTCAGATGATCTACCCAGAGATGCCAAGTGCATCCATGGAATATTAGATATTTCGGTTGGGTTTGCCTACAGCCACCTTGTTCAGTTGCAACCCTTAGATCGAGCTCAGCACTTCTTTTGGCAGTCAATGGGCGTCCCTCCAAACGAGCAATGGTTTTTTAAGATCAAGTCTGTCGAAAGTTTACCCCAGCCAGTTCCAGCAGATGAATACATATCCAAGCGCTTCAGCAAAGTTTACACATACATTAATCAGGACAGCATGGAGGAACTCTGTGGTATGTTTGAAATCCTTCCAATTTGGCTGGCTTCTGAAGCTGCAGGTTCCGACATGCGTGATTCCCTTCATCTTGCTGCAATGATACCACAAGCATTTGTTAAGTTGTGCATGCACAGGCTCTTGGAATTTTTGGTTTTGCCTTCTCCTATGAGCCCTGGTTGGTGGAAGGCTTCTAGGTGGTTCATCAGAAACATTGACCCGGCTGTTGTGGCTGCTTTTCGGGCTTCACGGGATGAACTTCCACAGGAACCGTTTGGACTGCAGATGTGTGGCCTTTTAGCTGATGACCTCCGGAAATGTTTGGATTGTTTGGGGCGAGGCTGTGCAGTTTCCAGTGATATTTTGGCTTCGTGGGTGTGCCGTTTGCAGGAGCGGGAAGACCAACTTCACGTTCGGTCCAGTTCGGATCGTTTGGCATCATTTGTCCAAATGATTGAGCTGATCATGTTAGCAGAGAAACTTCGCAACTCAGAGGAGCTTGGGGCAGTAATGCGGCGTGTTTTGCAGCTGGCCCTCCCCCAAGACTTGCAGTCCTTGGCAGAGTCGGCGCTCAAGAAATTTCCAAAGCTGGGCAAGAGCAAAATCAGCCGAGGCCATTTGACTTTGGATGTTGGGTTCATGCTGCATCAACGCGTTTCCAACTGGATGTCTGGTGATGCTGCACGCTATTTGATGTGGGATTCATCGCCTCAATTTGGGAGGGATTATCAAATGTGCTTAGTGCAACAAATCAGGAATTCGGATTTGGACAATCTGTGGGATTGTTCTGAAGCCATGTTTTTTCTTTGGGAGTCTGAGGGGCCGCCCAACTTTTCCGATTCAAACAATGTGGAAGATGAGGCGGCAATCATGGCAAAACTGCGGAACGGCATGAAGGTGCACGCCCTTCCTGCAGTCTTGATTGGGTTTGGCAGCGCGGGTTTCAAAAATAAATTGCATGCCCTGCTGCATGCTGCCAGGCTAGAAGTATTTTCGGAGAAGGAGTTGGCGCAATGGACCAGCAGTATTGTCACTGTGGCTTCTGACTATGGAGCAGAACGCCTGCTCGCAAATCTTCACAATGTCTCTGCTTCAGATGTTGCTGGTTGGTTCGAAGATGTTTCATTGCAAGACATCCGCCTCTGCGCTGGTGCAGCAGGGGCTTCAATTGGAGCCGGAGCTGATGCCCTTGCCCAAGTTCCTGATGCAGGCGTAGCCGACTTTGATTTTCAAGATCCTGCCGCTGCACCACAGCTTGTCAATGTCGCAGTTGGGGATGAGGGGAATGGGGATGACGAAGAAGAGTGGGAGCTTGCAAATCCTACCCGTCTCACCTTCGAGAACTTGCTTGGCATCCCTGGATTGCACCATATCATTGACAATGCAACAAAAGGTTTGAAAGATGTCATGGACAGTTACACTGACAACATTTTTTTGGCAGAGAAAGTTTGTCGTTTCCTATACAAGCCTAGCACAAGGATAAAGCTTATTGAAAGATGCTTTGTTCGTGGCCCTGGAGTTGCGTTTGCTGATGATATCAAAAAATTCAAAGGTTGGATCAATACAGGCCGCTGGGGCACAGTTGCATTCTCTGTCCCAGAGCTTCTGAAAGTCAAGCACGCTATAGTTTGGGGCTGGAATGAAACCCAGTTTTTGCGTGGAGAGCCTGTGGACGGTGACATTGAAATTGAAGAGAAACGCCGTGAAACTGCTGAATTAGCTGCATATGTTTCCCAAGCCGTTCAAAGTCCCGCCTGGTGGGGTTGGATTGCCATGTTTGAAGTTGTCTGCGGACTCTTGCGACAGCACATTCGCTGGGCAGAGTCGTGCCCTTGTCACGACCATTTGCTGCAAACTCACCGGGAAGATCTGCAAACAGAACCAGACCTTTTGAAACAATTTCTTTCATGCCCCATGCGAGGTCTGCGGGCGCCAGAACTGTCTGCCGGTCAATTTCTTGACTTGTTGAGCTCTCTGTGGCAAGTGAGTGCTGCGGAAGTGTTGCGGGTGCTGCCGGCAGCAATGGAAGAACGAGATCGAAAGGCCATAATGCAAGAATTTGATAGAGCAAGGGCCCATTTGGCATTTTATTTCACAGTGAAACTAAGTCACTTGCAAGAATTGCCTTGGAAAATCCTGCAATTGGGCCACCGCAACGAGGTCGTCGCGCAAATGGCTGCCAATGATATTTTATCATCAGCTTCCCCACATCCACATCCTTTTGTTCAGAAGCTGTGTCAGCCTGGCCCCCTCAGGCAAGCATGTCAAAGGTGGATTGGAGGTGAGTCGCTGTCGGCAGGTAACATGAAAGAATTGAGGAAATTTGTGGCCACCATGAGATTTGTTCCAACTTCTGAAAGGGCTATTGAGGGCCAACATGCAAAAGTTCATCGGCAAGGATTGGGACGCACAAACCACACTGAACATTTTCAAAGCTATTTTGTTCGCTCCAACGAAATGGCTCAAGCTTTAGAAAATGGTGATTTATCTTTGGAATCGTTTGCTTGGTATTGCCAGATTGCTCGCAATTCATTTGAAGCATGCCAATCAGTGGGCTTGGCAGGCCACCCATCCCTAGGCACTGTCCCAGCAAGAAGAAGACACCAATCCCAATTGCATGCAAAAGTCATTTATCATGCAGACCCTTATACTTTGTACACTGCTGCTGCTCCCGACGTCGAGATGAAGCCGGGTGGTGGGCGCAATGTAGTGCCACTGCATGCACTGCAAGATGACCAGCAGGCTGCCAACCCCAGGGCAGCAGGCGATGGCTGAAGTCAAAAGTTTGTCCTGTTTGGTTTAACATGTGGCTTGGTGGGCTATGGCTGTTTCTCCAATATTGGGGCCAAGTCCAAATATATGTTTTTCAGGGAGGCCTGTCAGATTCTGTCATATTGTATGCCAAGAGAAACTGCTGTAATCACAACTGAATTCAGCAAACTTAACTTTGTTGTGTTGTGTTACAGTTTTGGCTTGAAAAGGAGATAAGGAGATAAGGTATTGTTGATTCTGTCTGCTGCGGCTGTGCACCATCTTAGTTCCCACGAAATCATTTACAACATAAGCAAGCCTTTGCCTGAAGATGGGATTTTACACAACGTGGATAGCACCTTCTTGGGCGTAAAACTTGAAAGGCTCATTTCAAAAAATGAGACGGCCTAAAAAACCTCAACGGTATAACTGGTTTGTTATTACATTATGTTCACCAACCATGAAGACGATAGGTCCCCAAAAAGAGTGGTTGGGGACCTATCGTTTTAATCCCCGCTGTGTCTTCCCTGTAGCGGTGATCCGAATGCAACGAACTGGTTTGGAAAACAAGAAAAACTTTGAGTTAAACTTGAAACATTGTGTCTGTTTCCTTATATCGAATCTTGCCAAAGACTTCGAAACGTGTTAGGAAACGTTTGACAGGATGATATCGATATATCTCATGCTGTGATGTTCCTGGTTCAAGTCCTTCAACAAAGAAGGCAAAACAAGAGCAACGAAGCTCAAATGTTTTTTCATGTGCAAGTTTGGCATTCAGGTAGTCAATCAACTTCTTTGCACATGAACTTGAACACAGGAATATTTTGAATCATACTTCACTCAAAATTTTTCTTTTATCAAGTGATTAGAACAAGAATTGAGGGGCAGCTCAGAATTAGATTTGATTTTTTTGAAGACCCGCTTTGCATCCAGGCCAGAAGGGGCATAGCGCTCTCGATGTGGTGTGTCGGGGGCCAGGGCAGGATTTGTCAAACATTTGCCAACGCCATTCCAGCGCACTGCCACTTTTGAAGAAGTACATGCTCCAGTATTTGCAAAATTATTTTCATCAAAGTGATGGATTGTTTTTTTCGATTCCTATGAAGGCTGGTGTCCTGAAGAGGTTGCAAGCGTTGCTCCAAGCAAGTCAATCTCCAATGCTGGACCCCGCAAGGGATTTTAGCTTGCCAGCTTTTGACATTGACCTTGACAGCATGCTTCTGGACATGGATGGGCTGCAGCAGGCTTCTTCTTTTGGTGAAGCTGTCAAGCACGTTCTTTTTTTTCAAATTGTTCGGGCATCACCAAAGAGGGTTGTGCGAGCAGTTGTTGACGGTGAACTGGGTTTTAGCTCTGGAGACATTGTCATTGCACCTCACCATGCTTTAGTTGTTGATGGCGCGCAGAGAGCAGTGGTTGTTGATTCTTCTGCGCTGGGTTGTGTAAATCATGGAGACAAACAACCTTTTGTCTTGAGTCTGCACAGCTTCTCTTGTGAGGAGCTTTTACAAATTTACAAGTGGCAAGCCGATGATACGTTGGTGTATGGCCTGTGGGGTCACCATTCTGGTTTTGTTTCCTCTTTAGCCCCTGACACCCGTGAGTTGCTCCCATCTATATTGCGGGACTTGCTTATGCATCAAGATGGTGGGTATGTGCTGGATCAGCGCCAAAGCGGCGCCGATCAGAAGCAAGCTTGCCTTGAGGCTTTGCAAGCGGTCGGGGTTGTGAGGGCAGGGCTGAACGATGCGCGTTTTCCAATTTGGTTTTTAGCTGAAGCCAGCATTCCTGCTGTCAAAGCTGGCTATCGTGTTGCTAGCCCACAGCATGCATTGGCAATTCAAAATGAGATTCCTTTGCGTGAGAGATCGGTTTGGGAGCTTCTTGTGATTCTGGACCAAGATGGTTGGGAGCACAAAGTGAAAAACACAAGTTCCAATGACGAACCCTACGTTCCAGGTTCTGGTGAGAAACTTTGGTACAGCAAGCCTGGTGATGATACTGTATCATTTTGGTATTTGTTGGCGTTGGCCCAAGGTGAGCATACAATTCCGCATTGGCAGAAATCTGGATTCTACCAATCTTTGGTCGAAGGTGAAGCAATGCAACGCCGCCCCCCAAGAAGGAGGCCACTGCCCATTGAGAATGTTGATGATGATGCTTGGGATTTGGCCTTGCCTTTGGAACAAAGCACCTGCAGAAAGAGGCAGAAACAGCTTGGTGCTTCAACCCAGCACCCACAATTGCATGCCATCGAGGATGTTGCTCCAGGTGATGACTTGGACATGTCACTTTTTGGACCCAGCTCAGATGAAGAACATAGCAGTCAAGTTGCCGGCTTTGAACCGCATGTTCCGGAGAGCACATCTGCTGTGGTTCCCACCTTGGTTTCTTCACATGATGCAGTTTCAGCAGCTGGCCCTGAGGGCCCACAGTCTCCAAAGGAGATCTCTGGAAGCCCGAAGTCTGGTTCATCTAGTTCAAGCTCCAGCACAGGAAGTTCATCCTCAAGTTCGTCCAATGACACCAAGTCTGGTAGTTCAAGTTCTTCCTCCTCTTCTTCTGAAGCAGAAGAGGCCGAAGAGCCTGACCCAAGTGGCCAGCCTCGTGGTTCTGGTTGTGCTCCTGTTCCAAAAGCAGCCCCAATGCCTGTACCGATAGGGGCGGGAGCCCAGGGTCCTCACAGCAAAGAAAGAGCGTTCAATCCAAGAGCTGGCTTTGATTATGGATTGGGCCATGCTGTTCGAACTTACAAGGACGGAGAACCTATTGGCTGGGAAATGAACTGCGGACATCCATGCCACACAGCACGCCAATGCCGCAAGAACTTGAAGGAGACAACCAAAAGTCGGTCTGCAGAGCAAACAATGCGTTTGCTGAAGTGGTGGATCATCCGCGGTATGCATACTCAAAGCAGTGACGAGCACATGAAGGATGTGTGGTCAGAGTTGCTCCGTGAAGCATCCTCGGGTTATCTGGAAGAACCGCCTGATCGCCCACCGCTTGAATATACTGGAGTAGATGGGCAGCGACACACATGGGCTGGCAAGCGCAGTGTGTAAAGAAACAAACCGGCAGAAAGAAAATGGCAAGTGGAATTGCGTGCTTTCACTCTCCTGTGCAACTTTTTGCATTTTGCCAAATTTGTTTTTCACCAGAACATCACAGTTGTTCGGTGGGACGGAGATATTGCAAGTTGTTTCTTTGTCCTTGGGCCCCAGACCCTCCAATCTCTAATCCATGTTTTTGATTCCCTTTTGCCCCCAGCGCGTCTATTTCCTCATTTCCTCCACAGACTCTGATATAGGAACAACGCGGTAGCCCTACGTAACTTGCAGAAGCGTAGAGGACGCTTAGAAAGCAAAAGAAAGATTTTTTGATAAGATGCGAGCGGTCAGCTGAATGGCCAGAAGGTCCATAGAGGCCCACAACCTGCTGAAGGAGCAACTCTAGGGCTATGGTGAACTTTGGCTGAAAGGAGCAACTACTTGTCATCAAGGCTATCATCTATCATCCTCATGCCGAGCAGGTTGAAAAGTTGGACCCTAAGAGGCGTAAGTCATCTCCACAGCAGGGTTATCATCTGTCATCATCATTACCATAAGGTTGGATATGTGCACTCTAAGAGGCGTAAGTCATTTTCACAACAGGGTTATCATCTGTCATCATCACAGGCCAAGGGTTCTTATCATCCCTACGTAAGAAGCAATTTCACATGTCACACAGGAGAGCACCAGTCCACAAGAAAAAGCAAAGCAGTCAGCATTTTAACACCTGGCAAAGCAAGTTGAGTTGAGGCCATTTGAAGCAAATGCAAACCAATTTCGCAGAAACACTTACAAAACATACAAAACGTACAAAACGCATCAAAAAACGTAAAAAACACAATAAAATCAACAAAAGTTCACCAAAAGGCAGCCGAAAACTCCGGAAACCATCAACTGGGTGATTTTCGGTATTTCCACGAAGTTCCACGAAGTTCCACGAAGTTCCACGAAGTTCCACGAAGTTCCACGAAGTTCTGAAGCCAAAATAAGCTCAAATTTGGTCAAATTTTTGCAATTTTTCGACGTTCCACGAAGTTCCACGAAGTTCCACGAAGTTCCACGAAGTTCCACGAACCCCCCCAGGTTGTCTTGGCCCACTTTCCTTCGATCCTTTGAAATTCTTTGCGTTTCTTTGGTTTTCATGGCTTTTAGTTGATTTTCTGGCACTTTTGGTGCTTTTCAGTGCATTTAGCACGATTTAGCGTGTTAAATGTGATTTTAAGTGTTTCTCCGTTTTTTTTGTGCCAGCGACTGTGTGCTGAACGTTTTTTTTCCGGATCATATGCCAACATTTAATTTGAATTTCTGAGATGTGGATGTTTGAGCGTGTGTCAATCGCGCATGCAGTCTTGGGGATGCTTTCAAAGCGTTTTGAGTTTTGATTGTGACTAGTTATTTGGATCGCAGCGACGACATCAGTTTCAGATAGTTTGTGTCAGCGTGCCATCAGTGCCAGCTGCCATTCTGCCACCTGCATTTGCATCCATGGTAATTCACAGACGGGACAGCAGCTTTTTGGAAGATAGAGGCCCTGAAGACTTGCCAGGGCTGGCTGCCTGGGATGCAGGCATTGTCCAAGCATTGTGTGAAAACCAGCCTTTTGGTGACAGGATCGTTCAGAACATCCGTAGAGGTTTGCTGGTAGCTACTGACTTCAGTGGCTACGATGCTCCACGGGAGAGTCTTCGTATTCTTGTTCCAGAAGTGGGCAACAAGTTGAATTGTGTGCCACCGCCACCTGTGCATTTTCTTCGTTCCTGTGATTTCGGTCAGTCTCAGCAGCGTTGCTTGAAGCTACAAAGTTTCAAGTTTGACATTGGCAGCTCTTGTGTTTTCCAAGATCTTCATGATAGGCTAGACCCTGTCTCTAGGGAGTGGCTTGATGCAGCAAAGCCTACAAAGGGCATGAGTCTTGAAGAGGCTCAGTCGGCCAACCGGGTGGTGGAAGACTTCTTGATATCCAAGAGGAATTCCTTGTTCCACGCTGAGAATACAAGCTTTTGTTGCAGGCATGACCAGCAGTGCCCAGTCCATGTGCTTCCAGCTTACCGGGCCTTGATGGCTGATGCGCAGGACATGAGGATGCCTTTGTTTGAACCTGCTTGGAAGAGACAGAAGACCTTCCCCTGTAGCTTGTGGCTTTGCTTAGTCTCCATAACATCCCGGCCAATGTTTGTAGAAGGCAATTCTGATTTGGAAGTAGATTTTTCTGGGGAGTTGAAAGATCGACGTTTTCAAATGCTAAAGCCAAGTCGAAACATTTGAGTTCTGCGAAGTTCCACGAAGTTCCACGATGTTCCACGAAGTTCCACGATGTTCCACGATGTCCAACGGAAGTTCCACATTCCCTTAGTTTTAGCTTTAAGGATGTCTTCCCTTCAACAACGTTTGGTTTTGGGATCGAGATTCCATTTTTCATAGCAGCAAGCTCTTTGCCACCAAAGATAAAGCAATGCTTTTTATCACGATTTCGTAATGAGCTGCAGGTGGGAAGCCTTGGTGGCAGAATCCTCGGCTCCGTGATGACTTTGTCCAGGAGACGGCCGGAGACTTCCATTCAGATCCGGTGGTTTGCAATATTTCCGGTTTGGTTTGTGTCGATTACACACCTCTTGGCAAAAGGCAAGGGATTCATGGCGGGGGCTTGACTGAGCCAGGCCATGCTCTTTGGGCGGTTGAGCGCATGTGGCTTGCAGAGAACGGCCTCGAAGATTGGTATTTCACCGAAAATTCGAGCCATTACCCAGTTCAAACCAAGCAAGTTGAACCTTTACAGTGTACAGAAGACTCATGGCGTGAAGTGGGTCATCACTTGCCCCACAAAGCTTGGCTTCCCCATGCGTCGCCGAAGAACTTTCACATTTGGGTTTTCTTTGGAGAAATGGGTGTGGGTGGGCCCTGCCACTCATGATGATGTTCAGGAAGAATTTGATTCCCTTTTCAACAAAACCTTACAGCTTCCTGGTGATGTTTATTTGCTGGCAGACGCCCATAGCATTGAAAAATTTGCGTGTGAGAAAGCAGCCCAAAGGGGCAAGTGTTTGCCGCCTGATTTCGCTGGTTTGCCGATGTCAAAGTACTTGCAATGCCTTCTTCCACCTGGAGCCATGCTCCGGTTGAGCCAGTATGAGAGTGCCAGGCCTCAGCGTGAAGGGTTGGCTGGTCACTACATGGTGGATTTGGACCATAATATTTCTTTTGGTCCGAGGAGTGGCCCTGAGATGCCTGCTCTCGACACCCATCCCACCATATACTCTTTCCAAATGGAGCGACTTGTCTTGGCAGAGGAGATGTTAGCAGCTCAGGGCATAGACATGTTTGAAGATTTGGCCGGTTCTCGAGGAATTTCGCCTCTGAAGGACATTTTCTCGTCATTTTCTGAGTCCGAGCTTCGGTTTTTTGCTGGGAATTCTCTCCATGTTCCAACGTACGGTGCATGGCTCATGTATGCAATGGGCAATGTGGTGCCCAGAGATGACAAACTTCCGAGGCCTCTTCTTTGCCCGGCTGATGAGGAGGAGGAAGATGACTAGCGGCCTGGTTGCCCTCGGCCCATGCAGCGTCTTTGAAAGTTTCTGTGAGCACTTCTGATTTTGAGCTTCTTTAAGTACGTGTTTTGCTGGACAGCAGGGGTCAGAAGTGAATGTAAACTGTGTAAGCTTTCAGCTACTGGTGGCTAGTCGTGGCTTATGCTATCATGGGATCCACTGGTCCACTTTAGTGTTTTCAGCAGAATCATGTGCCTGCAGTTCAGTGAAAGCCGCGTGCCTCACTTTCGTGAAACCATTTTGAGGTGTTGGATGAAAAAGGTTGCTGCTTTGAGCTTTCGATCCGTTCAGCCAGATCAAGAGAGGTCAATTGTTCAGCCTCTCTGTTTGCAACTCTGCAATTGTTTGACTTCCCGTGGCCGCTGCATGTGAACATGTAACTCCAGCAGTTTTGTTTTAACTGAAATGAATGAAAGTTGTTTCTGAACAAATTGGAAATTTGGTGCCTCTGCCCTGTGGCGCAGCAGGCAGTATGCACATCTTGGCAGATTCAAAACCGCGAGGCATTTTGGATTGAATTTTCCTTTAGCTGTTGGCTAGCGCCTTCTTTGTTTGAGCCTCCCTAATGGACGAGGACTTTGACGTTCCTTCCGCGGTAGAGAGCTTGCCGCCAGCAAGCACAGCCAAGCGCTCAACGAGGGGATCGAGTGATGCTGGCGCTGGCAAGGCTGCTACCTTGAAGATTTGCCAGTACAATGGATGCGATTCGGATTGCAAAACCAACCGACGGCATTGCAGCCATCACCAACGACACCTTGACAACATGAGGAATCAAATTTCCAAAAACAAAGGTGCTGATGCTGTGAAGGCTTGGTCGGAGAAATGCAAGGATGTTGAGTTTGCGAACTCGCAGATCGAGTACATGTCCAAGAAGGCAGTGGGACTCCCCATGTTTGCCCGGGCCCCTTTGATTGACTTCGTGCAGTGGGAGCAGGAGTTTGGTCATTTAGTTACCAGCAAGACTGCCACCCAAGACCAACCTTTTGAGGAAGAGCAATGGATCCGAAGACAAGTCCACAAGTTCGGCCGCAACAGGGAGGAAATGGTCCAAGAGTGGAAGCAGAAGTTGGCTGGCCCTTGGAAGAGGGACTACTTGGGTTACAAAGGAGCTCTTCGGCTGTGGCTTCCTGCGAAGGAATTTCAAGAGAAGGCAGAGACAGATTTCATCAAGGGCAACTCCCGTGAAGTTTCCAAGCAGAAGAAGGCACCCAAGCAGTTTGAGACCGAAGCTTTTCGAATCCACGCCTTGGAGGCTGGCTTCAACCACGGGCATGGCTTCTTTGGCGGCCATGTGGGGGCTGCTGGCGATGAGGAGGAAGATGATCCCATGGTGGCTGCGGGTTCCCCCGGAGCTTCAGACGGCAAAGCAGGTGCTTCGGCGTTTCCAGCTGCTCCTGCAACCAAGCGCAAACCTTGCGCTGAGACCCTTGAAGCCAGTGAGGACGAGACAGAGGCTACAGCGGCACCTGCGAAGAAGCCGCGCAAAGGAGCAAATGGTGCAGGTGCCAGGGCAGCTTTGTTTGACAACTTGTCAAGGCAGCTGCTGACTAAGCATGCAGCCATCGTGAGCAAGAAAGCCGACGCTGAGCGTGTGCAGAAAGAAGAGAAGGAGGCGCCTGCGCCAGTTGCACCCACAGATGCTACCACCAGTGCCAGGAATCTCTACAACGACGCCCTTGCCCAGAACTTGAAGATGGTCGAGGTTTGGCTTTCACCTGGAGCGTTGACGGCCATGGTTGAGACCCACAACAAGGAGGTGGCAGACCAGAACCAAGAGGACAGAAAGATTCCGGAAGGTTGTGAAACCCTTGCGACGCAGTCTCCTGGCTTGGCTTGGATTGTGGAGTTGACGGCAAGTTCAGTCAATGTTGGCCGGAAGCATTTGCTGCGCACGCATGCTTTCATGCAAGACTCTAGAATTTATTCTGGGCATTTTTTGTTCCCCAAAAGGTAACCAACAACCAATGAGTACTGTCATGGGAGTCTTTTTGTTGAAGTCAGCCACTCGAGCAAATCCAAGGAGTTTGTGGGTGAGATTGCGCAGGGCTCGATTGAGGAGGCCGAGTTGGAGAAGAAGCGCTTGGCTTGGCGACGCATGCTTGGCTGTGCCACGCAGATGGAATCTTCTTTGAAGAAGTGTGCCGGGGATGTTGCAAAGCATGTCAGCGGATTGGCAGCTGCAGCAGAGCGGAAGAAGAAGAAAGACAAGGACAAGGCGGAGAAGGATGCTGAGGCCAAGCATCTTGCCAAAGAGAAGGAGAAAATGAAGAAGGCCAGTGCGGATGGAGCAGGCTTGCCTCATCTGTTCAAGCTGGCTGCGGACGAGCTTTTGCGCATTCTTGTCAAAGAAGCGAATGGCTTTGAGGAGAAGATGGATTTGAGCAAGCCATTCGTTTTGACCAACTCTTCCCATTTCACAGCCTGGCAAAGCAATGCCACGCTGCTCCAGGTCATGACCAATTTTGGCTCCAGGTACAAGAAAGTGGAAAGCTTTGAGCAGACTGGGAAGGTTACCCAGCCCATTGCAGCCAGGCAAGGCAAAGAACCAACAGAGAAGTTCTTCAATGACATCATGCTGCTGGCCCGCAAGAGCATCGTGGACATCAGCGAGCATGCGGCTAACTGGATGACTACCAGCTGGCTGTTGGGCTTTGCTCCCAAGCGGGTCTTCATTGGCTTTGCCCCCAACTGTGCAGCCATGTTGCGCTGCTTGGCATACGGAGACATGGAGGTCTACATCCTTCCTGTGGCCGAGCTGGTGCGTTCGATTGAGGAGAAGCACAGCAGCCTGCAGGTGTCCACACTTTCAGAGCTGGAGCAGGCCCGTCATATACATGTGGCTGTTGGAGATCCTGCCTAGGTTATTTCAAAAGTTGTTGCGATCACATTTTTCCCCCCTGCAAGTTTTCTCAATTGTTTCTTCCTAGATTCCTCCCAATGAAGTCTGGTTTTGGTTTCTTTTCTTGATCCTGTTAGAATCCGGTCCCATGTCCTGAAACCATCTTCTGTTCCTGGTGATGTTATTTTGGAATCCTTCGCCTCCCTGCAGGTGATTGAAGGCGGTGATGACAAGTTCTGGAGCGGCTTGGGGCTGAAGCCCTTCTTCCACCGTCTCGAGAAAGAGGAGATCTTGTACGTCCCAACTGGGCACCTTCTGGTTGAGAAGACTGGTGCATCGTCCATGATCTATGGTGCGCGCAAGTCTTTCATTGTGGCAGACTCTACGGCGGCTTCCAACTACGCCGCTTGCAAAGAGCTTTTGGCGAAAGATGGGAAGGACGTGGAAAAGATGGAGAAAGTCCATGAGTGTTTGAAGGCAGCACTCCAAGCAGCTGCTGTGACTGAGGTGAAGGCAGAGGGCAGCTAGAGCAGGGCCAACCGGAGCTCATTTTCCTCCAACCAAGCCCGGAGTGGCTTGATTGAATTATAAGCTTCTGCCAGTGCCAGAGCGCGCGGGCCAAAATCCAATGCTATTTGGCTGGGCTGGAGAAAAAGGATGTTTACGGCACTGAATCACTTTCATTCCGGCAGCCTAGCAAGACTGAAGATGAATCCTCAAGAAACTAAAGTTTGGGCTTGGGTTGTTCAACTTGTGGAGCTTGATTTTTTACATTTCATTTTGCAGACTTGGTTTGCATACTTGGTATGTCGGTGGCAAAGCAGAGGGCCAAGCGCAATGGGTTTGCACTTTTGCTTTGAGAGATGTGCGTATCTGGCGACGTAACCCGACGAATTAACGCCAGCGTATATATGATATATGAATACTGGATGTTTTGGTGTTTATGTTAACGCGGTTGTCGGAATATATGTCAGGCACTGGTGTCTACACCTGGCTGTTCCGTGTTCCTTGGTTTGGGTGCTGTTGGTGGTTTTGCAAACAGAATAGTACCCGGTGATGGTTGACCTAGTTGCTTTGAACACCTAGGTAGTTTCGATTTGAACAGCGTCGCGTTTGTAGCATCGGCTTTGTGTTTTTGCACGGTTTGCCATTTTCTTTCGTAAATTAGAAGGCTCAAGTTGAATATCATCGTGATTCAACATCACGATGATTTTGCATTGGGCTTTGCTGCTTACCCTTGATGTTTGACGCTGGTAAGACAAGTGATTGGCCCCAAGTGATGAAAACCCTTGTTTTCCAGCTTTTCAGTGGGTATATTTCATTTTGCCGGAGTATGTCCAATGCTAGCTTGCCCTTTACATCACTTTCCATTTTTAGCTTGCTCAAGCAGCTATCGCTTTGCATTCCGAAGGCGATGCAGCCGCACAGCCCAAATTTCATCTGGTAAGAAAAAAACATGGTCATGGAGCTGACTTTAGCTCCAAAACTTTTTCCCAAGCGTTGCTGATGAGCATTTGCACGCAAACGCCTGAAAAAGTAAGTTTTTGTACCGGCTGGGTGCCACCCTGCGCACCCCGAAGTTCCACGAAGTTCCACGAAATTCATGTACCAGACAGGACCAAGCCTCAACTAGCCAATATGGGATATCTGCATACTATGTCATCATTTTCCGGCTTGAATTCCCATATGTGATTGCAAAACCACCGATTCTGATGGAGTTATATCAAGATTGACCGTCAAAACACCGCCCATCCAAAGGGCAAAATAGCCTTCCGAGCCCGGAAGTACAAAAGTTTGATCGATATGAAGAACTGTGAAGAAACTCGTCAGAAACTATACTCGACCAGTTCATATTAATATACATACATATTGATTAATCAGTATTTACCCTCTGGCAATTTGACATAGCTATTGACAATTGCCATAGACATAGTTGATTTACCCAGCCATAACATGGTGGTTTTCCAGTTCTACCCATTAAAAATTGTGTTTTTTTTCAGTTCGTTATGTAAACGTTTGCCAGAGGCATCCAGAGGGTATGGCTCTGAGATTTCGCATCGCGCATCGCATCTCCGCACCCAGGTGGCTCTGGAATGGCTCCGCTGGCGAGTGAAGGCTCCAGCATTGCCAGCAGCGGCGGGCCGCCGCCGGGATGCTTGGGGATGACCGGGATGGCAACAACAGAGCCATGAAAAAATACCATGGTTCCATTAATGATGGTTATTAATGGTTTTTAATTTTATGATGGTGATAATGATGGTTATTAATGGTTTTTTAATGACTAGTAATGGTGATTAATGGTTAATGATGGTTAATCATTATGGTTCATAATGGATATAGTGGCTAATATGGGTTCAATGGGAGATCTTCAGGATCCAACAGATCACCATTAACCACCATGAAAAATACAGGGATTGATGGGAAAATAATCTATAAATATGGGATTTTTCGCCATGGTCAAATCTTGGGTACTTGGGAGATCTTCAGGATCCAACAGATGGAGGTACGTAAACGTACCATATTTTTGGCTATATGAATTGTGGGGATATGCCCTGAAATTTAGGCCTGAAAACTAGGCCTTATATATGGTAGGTACCTCCAATTTAGGTTCCTGAGATGGCCAGTGAATGGTAGGTTCCTCTTGGGACTTATACCAAATTTACTGGGGATTATGATAACCCAGAGTAGGGAAGCCTATCAACCAGTATAATGAGATGGGAGAGTTGTATTTCAAATTTGGCACAGAAACGGCATGGGAAATTTGACATTTGTGGATTCTTCGCCTGAACACATGTGGATTCAAGTGGGAAATTCTGGCTTTGAACTGCTAAAAAATTGTCTGGTTGGTGGTTTGGAACATGAATTGTTTTTTCCATCATATTGGGAATGTCATCATCCCAACTGACGAACTCATATTTTTCAGAGGGGTAGGGCTCAACCACCAACCAGGTACTGTTTTATGTGGGTTTCAATTGAAAGGAGGACTGAAGCTGTCAAAATGTTGCTATAAAACCTGACATTGGAGAGTTGATCTGCAAAAAAAACCTGTCTGGAATTACTCTATGGTAGCTAAAGCTCGCAAGGGACAAGAATGCAAAGTGATCTTTTTAAGATACCCTCGCAATGGCAAAGGAGAAAGATGATGATGTACCCTTTGGTAAACATACAAAAAGCTATTGAAAATGGCCATAGAAATAGTGGACTTGCCCATTAAAAATAGTGATTTTCCATAGCTATGTTAGTTTACCAGAGGGTACTCCTATCGAAAAAATCGGCACTGTCCGTTGCCACCGAGATTACTGGTGGATACCGTATTACCTGTGTTTTTTGTTAATCTGAAACAATGTGAAGAGCGAAATGGAATGGAACCCCACAAACCTGATACAATGACGCGACCCCACATCCCAATTTCAACATGAAACATGAAGTCTCAAAAATGAGTTGACTACTGGATATGGTTGGGTTACATCTTGCTCTTGGGTGGGGATGTAAGGATCATGAAATGAGAGTGGACCAGAAGGAAATGATATACCATGATCGAGAAATGGGTGCTTCACAGTTACTCACGGCAGTAAAATACTGAGGGTTCATCAGTTGATTCAAAAAAAGTCAAGATATGCTGGGACAGGAAAATCAGCATGAATCGAATATGTGCGTGGCAAATAAACTTGGTATACCCCCGAATAAAATGGCGATGTAAGTAATGTGAGTGGTATGGCAAAGAACATGCGTGACCAATAAACATGCGGTTTCAAAGCATAAACATAGGGATTTTGAGTGACAACACATAGATAAATGTAAATAACAACTACATCCAACACTTTTAGCGACTACATTCAATTCATAACTATTCATGGTGGGTTTCGACAATGCTGATCCACACTTGTTTGTTTTTTGGATTCATATATATATATATATATTTGTTCATGTTTTTCGGGCATTCCAGGGATTCCAGGGGCATTATATAAACCACAGTGTACTTCCAGGGTTTACTGAGTCTACTGCACCGGTGAGGTCCTTGCCGCAGCTGGAGATCGCGGTTCCTCCAGATCCCGCAGGTCCAAATGACGATCGTTGCAGCATTGTTTGATAGCCCTACTTCCATATTACAAAGCAAGGGAGAACATAGAACATCATAGAACTAGGGATTATGATATAATCTGATATTCCGTGTTTAATAACCCCAATCTATCCCCAATCTTATGGTTTCTGGGCAAATGCATGGTTATTCCACATTAACAAACTGGTTTAGTTTTTGCTTTCGCGCTTGAGCATGGAATGGATACACGATTAATGTTCCACTTGATATTCCCAGTGTAGTATGAAACGTCCAGATTATGTTCAGGATATTTCATGATATTGATTTTAAAAGCCGGTTGTTTAGTGTATTTTTTTGGATGCAGTCATCATTCAGGTCAACGTTGCACAATCACAGGTATCACTCTTGTCATTGCTAGATTATTATCATTAATTACAAATCATTATTATATATTATTATTAAAATATTATTACTATTATTATTCTTATTATTATTATTCTTATTCTTATTATTATTTTTATTAATTATTATTACTATTCTGGGGTGAGGTTAGTGAAGGCAAAAAGTGCAATGTCATTATTTGAAAAAAAACATAGGCATGAAATCGGTAACCTTTATTTTATCCTTATGTAATATCATCGGTACTCTTTGTCATGATGATTAATCTGGATTGAGAAAATATCTTATGTAATATCTTGGCATGTGGACATTTAGAATTCAGAATAATAGGATCAGAGGTCCTAATGAGTTTACTCAAGATGATTTTATGAATGGGAAAATAAACGGTTCATTTTCCCTTAGCAATTCCATAGGGCTATATTATAGGCTATAATTTTATAAGAATAACGTTTTAATATCAGGAAAATGAACCGTTCATTGTCTCTACATAGCCCATTAGGGTAAATTAATGAATGCCCTGGCAAATTCATTAATAAATTAATGAGCACAACCAATTGTGGAATCACCCCATAAATTTTAAACCTATTATAGTATAATTGAAAAATAAGTATGGGAAATAATATAACCCCCGACTGCCACCGCCGCTGGCTGCCGCTGCTGTGGCACCCGGCGGCTTCTGGAGCCACCGCCGGGGCCTCAGCGGTTGCAGCGATCCTCCTCCTTCACCTCCTCCTCCTCATCATCATCATCGTCATCATCATCAACGTCATCATTATCATCATCATCACCATCGCCATCACCATCATCATCATCATCATCATGATCATCATCATCACCATTATCATCAGCATCATCATCATAGTCATCATCATCACCATCATCAGCATCATCATCATAGTCATCATCATCATCATCATCATCATCATGATGACCACCCATCATCATCATCATGATGATCATCACCATCATCATCACCATCATCATCAGCATCCTCATCATCATCCTCCTCATCATCATCACCATCATCATCATCATCACCATCATCATGACCATCATCACCATCATGATCATCACCGTCATCGTCATCATC